ATTATAGTTACACCTTAAGAGAAAGTTCAGACCTCTTAGTTTTCCTTAGTAATAATCTGGAACCGTTTTCCAGTTCTTTTTTCCCTTGGTAAGAAGTCTTGGAATCCAAGCTAACCTGAGGGCTTTAAACATAATTTCTATGTCGATCATGCGTATGCCTCCTTTGTCCAGATCTTGATAGAGCCCAGGTCTTTTAATCTTATCTCTCTTGTTTTTCCATAGAAAGTTAATTAATTTCGTTTTGATTATAGGAGTCATTTCTTCAGGAACATTGACATTGAGACGAATTGTTGTTATTTTAATACTCATTATGTGCACATAATTAACAATTGCAAAACAGCGAAAATATAAGGGCTGTATAGGAATCCAACGGATAAATTCTAGACATAGAAAAAATAAAATACAGAGATATTTTTAGGACTCTGTTATACGTGACAGCTCAACGGGGTCGTTTATTTTTTTATTGGTTGATCAGCTTTTTCAGAAAGAAAATGCAAAACCCGTTTTCACGACATAAGCCAAAAGGCCTTTTGATTAATCTAGACGAACATCATTTATAAAATAATTAGTCTTTTGAAATTACAGATAAGATGGCACTGCACTGATAGAGAAAGTAGTTTACAAAATCAGTCCAGATACATTGCCATGTACTGAGAAATGTAGGATCTCACAAAAATATGATGGGATTGATGAAATTGTCTTCTGGGGTTGTAAATGTTGTACTTCAACGTGGATTCACTTCACACCAGGAATTGCACATACTTTGAAGGTGATACTTCATTGTCGTTGTTTTCAGAAGAACTTGACAAACGTAATTGTGCATTTTTTGAAAGCGCCTCACAGGTCCTCGCACACTTTTTATATCACAATTAAGTGGATTTGATCTTAATTTACAAATCAACAATGTATATTACTCATGATACCTTTTAGGAAAAATTTGTCTTCTTGTCGGATAACATTTTCAATTCCACGAAAATGTAGTTGGAGCAACACATTCTATGAATTAGCTAGCACCGAAAATGCACGGACTGATAACCCCTATTTAGGTTGAGGTGTTTAGTGTTTGACCATTATAGTCTATACTGTGACAATAGGTAAATTATTTTGACAAATCCACGAGTCAGCCTTAAGAGTGTGTCCATGAGAGAACCAGGCAGAGGGTGATAAAGCTCAAATGACCGATTTGGCTCAAACTCGGCACAAATGTTGGGTGTCATGAGTAACTATATATAATTGTGACAAAACAATAGGTCAAAATATTAAAATCCCTGGGAGATATGGAGCCCCCGGATATAATGGCCATTTTGCACTAATTTGTGCATAATTAATTAGCTGAATTTGGTTGAGCAGTTCTACAATAAGAAAAGCTCTCTGAAAATGAAATCCACTTGATCATGTTGTGCATTTATCAGACTCAAAGTAAAATAATTTATTTCAGCTGGTCGATTTGATTTCTCGCCCTCACTCAATCTTAAGTAAAGGACACATTTTGAAGTGTTGGAAATAGCCTTGAATTAAAGCGAAATATCTGCAATGTGCAACAACCTATATACATTATTCTTACATGGACAGTGAAAGGAATCACTAAAGTTCTCAAAAAAGTCATAAAATCTTTGGGGACTTTAATATTTTATCAGTGCTGACCTACTATAAATACACCAAAAAACGATTTTTGGTCATTTCATCAAAATTCACTTAAACACAAAAGCCGTTTATTTGTCTTAATGTAACACGAAATCGGCAAGAAAACTCTAACTAAGCATCGTTCTATCGATAAATAGTCTAGAATCTGTACCTTTATTTACAGATTCTATTTAATTAATTTATTTATTGATTGATTTATTAACTTATTAATTTATTAATTTTTATTCAAAACGAAGACCCCATCAATTTCGTGTTTCTCGGCTGGGCGTCTTGCAAAGCCTTTAAGCGACGGTCTTAGGTTTCAGGTCTTAGCTCTTCGTTAAAGCATCGCAAATTAAGGAGGTGCCACCGGCTATACAGGGCGAAAGCTTGGCACACCGAAAACCAAACTTGACCTCTTAAAATCTGAACGCAATCGAATGAAGACACAGTCGAAGGCTCCATTCTACTTAAAAATCCTCCTCATAACATATTGCCCGTTATAAACATACTTGAAGAAGAGTAGGCGAGAATTAAGACCGAATTTAATAGAGAACGGCAAATGTACCAATGTCACGAACCTTAGGAGTCGCATTTGGTCTGTCAACACTCCACATATGACATCACGTGGTCTAAAGGAACCAATCGGAAACACCGTTCGTCTAGTAAACGGCCGGAAGTAGGGCTAGCCACAAGTTGCTCGACAACTTTTTGGCAACTTTTCCTTTTTTCGGCAACTTTTTTGTTTTGGAGCAACTTGGGAGTTTTTTTGGAATTTTGGCAACTTGAACCAACTTTCGCATTCGATAGCAATACTTTTTAATAATATCTGAGTCGAAAATACAAGATATTTAACAATATAGCGCACATTCCATACGATAAATATCACATGAGGATAAATTTTAAGTCACAAAACATCCAAATAAACACAACCTGGAGAAAGGCCCTGGAACGAGGTTGAAAACAAACATTGCAAGGAATTCCACGCACATGGAAAAGAAAAATGGAGGACAGCAGTGAAGGAATACAAAACAAGACTAAAATTAACTTTTGTTGCGGTTAGAAATTAAATTTCTTTCAGCTTCATATCTTAGCAAGTCATGATAGAGCGACGTTTTAAAAGAATGAACAAATCAGTTTGGGAAACTTTCAAGAATTTTAGCGCAACTTTTGGGCGAAAAAATGGCAACTATTTGGCAACTTTCCTAAAATTAAGCAACTTTTGAGCAACTTTTCAGAAAAAATGAGCAACTTGAGGATCATGTAACAGATATGTCATGTTGTCATGTTCAAATTGCAAATGATTCATTTTAATACTTATTAACGACATTGGAAATTCGAGTCTGCTGTTAGTCTCCTTCCTTGCTGATTCGGTGTCGTAAAACACATAAATAATAACCGAAAAATATTATTTTTAAAGGGTTTAAAGAATATTAGGATCTTCCAAGCCTGTTGTCAGTTGACAGTTAACCTTGATCCAAATGTCAGTTGTCGGTTAAATTTTAGGCTATTTGTCAGTTGTCAGTTAAAATTTTAGCCATTTGTCAGTTGTCAGTAAACCCCATCCAGACCCTCTGTTTAGCTTTGATCAATAAATGTTTCGGAATAGCGCTTATATTTCACATCATAGTTGTACCTTAAGAGAAAGTTTAGACCTCCTAGTTTTCCTAAGTAATAATCTGGAACCGTTTTCCAGTTCTTTTTTCCCTGGGTAAGAAGTCTTGGAATCCAAGCTAACCTGAGGGCTTTAAACATAATTTATATGTCGGTCATGCGTATGCCTCCTTTGTCCAAATCTTGATAGAGCCCAGTTCTTTTAATCTGGTTATCTCTCTTGTTTTTCCATAGAAAGTTAACATAATTTCGTGTTGATTATAGGACTCATTTCTTCAGGAACATTGACATTGAGACGAATTGTTGTTATTTTAAAACTCATTCTGTGCACATAATTATTGCAAAACAGCGAAAATATAAGGGCTGTATAGGAATCCAACGGATAAATTCTAGGACATAGACAAAATAAAATACAGAGATAAGGACTCTGTTATACGAGACAGCTCAACGGGGTCGTTTATTTTTTTATTGGTTGATCAGATTTTACAGAAAGAAAATGCAAAACCCGTTTCACGACATAAACCAAAAGACCTTTTTAAAGATCTTAATCTAGACTGAAACATCATTTATAAACTGGAGAATTATAGTCTTTTGAAATTAAGATGGCACTGCACTGATAGACAATTGAAGTAGATTACAAAATCCAGATACATTGTCATGTAGAAATGTAAGGATCTCGCAATAATATGATGGGATTGATGAAATTGTCTTCTGGGGTTGTAAATGTTGCACTTCAACGTGGATTCGCTTCACACCAGGAATTGCACATACTTTGAAGGTCATGTTTGATTGTCGTTGTTTTGAGAATAACTTGACAAACGTAATTGTACATTTTTTTGAAAGTTCTCCACAGTCCTGAGCGGACGCAAACTTTTTATATCACAATTGACCCCACAATTAAATGTATTTGATCTTAGTTTACAAATCAACAAATACAATGTATATTACTCATGATACTTTTTAGGACAAATTTGTCTTCTTGTCGGATAACATTTTCAATTCCACGAAAATGTAGTTCGAGCAACAAATTCTATCAATTTGCTAGCACCGAAAATGCATCGACTGATGACCCCTATTTAGGTTGAGGTGTTTAGTGTTTGACCATTACGCATCCATGCAACAGGCGTTTTTGTGACTATATACTGTGACAGTAGGTAATATTTTGACAAATCCACGAGTCAGCCCTAATCTATGGACCCTTTGACTCCTATTAGGCCCTGCAGCAATACGAGCACGTGGACGAAAGGCCCTGATGGTCTACGAAAAGGCTCTTAGGGATGGATCTGTGAACGTTTACCGTGGTCGAATACTGCTAATTGGCCAGGATCGTGCTGGTAAAACGAGTTTGAAGAAGTCTCTCTTAGGTCTGCCGTTTGACCCTAAAGAGCAGAGCACTGAGGGAATTGAAGTGGATCCGTCAAAGTGTGAAATTGAAGTTGACCAAATCAAGAACTGGCATTCCACCAATGAGAAACCAGGATCGTTTGAATTTTCTAAACATATTGCAAGATTGGTAGCTGCAAATCTGGTTGAATCAAACAAAACACGGCGGCGGCTGCGGCATCGAATTTTCCAGAGATCAAGAGACGAAGAGAGAAGATACGAAGTGGGTTTGGATGTAAAAGACGAAAATGGTCCCCACACCAGTCAGGTTTGTCAGTACATAATATTATTATAGTTAAACCATTGGTGTTAATTAATGCTAACTGCTGTTTTAATGTTTGAAATAGTCAACCTAGTTATATGGCCTAAGCTCCAACGAGTCTCCTGAAGCTCAATGGTAGAGCGTCCGTCTAGGGTGCGGAAGGTCATAGGTTTGATTCCTGTTTAAAGAACTCGGTCGGAAAACCCCTTTTCCGCGTAACGTAAGTTGCGTCACTGATCGTCACTGACTGATTAATATCTTTCTCAGATTTCTCCCAAGCTTAACTTATCTCTTCGTTTCTTTCCTAATAAAATAGAGGTTTTTCTTGTAACATTTAACTGAACAGGGACACTTAAAATACAGAATTTCGTTGGCAAAAGTAATATCAATACATCAGCTGAGGCTTTTTTGAGACTGATGCGTATAGCGTTCTGATGTTGATAGACTTGAGTGCTGTTTTGAAACTGAGGAAAGTTCATAGCTTGAACTTAAACGTATATTTACCTCGTACCTCAATCCACTCGGTCAGTGGCGCACTGCCCAATTCAAGAAAGAACGTTAACTGTAATCATGTTTTAATATAACACTATTGGCCCTATTTTAGGTTGCTTTTGATCCCAGTGGAAACACATCTAAAGAACCTGTTGCTTTTGATCCCAGTGGAAACACATCTAAAGAGCCTGTTGCTTCAGATCCCAGTGGAACAACATCTAAAGAGCCTGCATTAGCGATCGATGCTACTTCACCCCCAGAGGACTTCACAAATCAGTATTGGAATTACATTAGAAGCCAACATGTTAAAAGTGATATCGAGAAAGACGAATCTGTTGTAAGTGTCGATCTGTGGGATTTTGCCGGACAGCACCTATACTATGCTTCTCACCCTGTCTTCTTTTCATCACGAGCTGTGTATCTCTTGGTGTGCAACCTCAGCAAGCCATTAAATGCCACAGCACAGCCCTGTGCTAGACAAGGTATCCATGACGTTTTTCTGGAAAATCCAAATGGTGAAACAAATTTGGAGAATTTGCTATCATGGCTTGCCACAGTTCACAGTATAACACAAACGAGAAAAGAAACCGTTGAAAGCACAGAGAAAAAGCTGCCTTATCTACGACCACCGGTATTCATTGTAGGCACGCATGCCGACAAACCATTCGAGGATGCGGCAGTTATGAAATCGAAGATAGAAAAGATAATTTCTGGTAAGGAATACGTGAGACAAGTGATCCGACCTTTCTTCAGCATTGATAACACAAGAGGACATTCACAGCCGAGCACCGGTAATACAACATCACTGTATACTATATATAGGGTACAGAAACTGTTTACATATGTATTACAGTGCCAGTACTACTTTAACAAGGACCACTTAGACAACTTAAAACAAACCACGTTTCAGAATGATAACAAGGAATTGCAACTTCAGTTGTTTGAGCCAATCAATGCTATACAACGTTTCAACTTAAAATTAAGCCAGTTAAAATTCTCTATTCTGCTCTGTAATGTGATTAGTTTTCATTGTCTGGGTGGCCCCACTGTAATTACTTAAGTGAGAACGTTGATGTGCACAGGAATTTGCTGTCTTTTTGGCACTCAAGTGATTGTTTTTAAGAGTCAGGTATCTAGCCAGTTCACTGATAATTGGTAAAATACTGGATAAGGACGGGGATCTTGATTCACGCTGCAAGAATAATATTGATCTCGTCCTTGGGTTGTCGAACTATTAAATTATAAGAGTAAGCTAATTACCGCCAATGTTGAAAAATAAGCGTTTATCCGAGGAGTGATACCAAAACTTTAATTGCTGTAATTTACCATGGAAATATAAACTAGTCTATGTACTATATTATTAGTGAGTGGCTCGGTGGACTAATGGTTTTGTCACTTTGCATGTTGAATTTCGGATCAAGCGGGCAAGACACTTTACCCTCACAGTGCCTGTCTTCACCCGGGAAACCCGACAAAATGCTGGGGGGTAACCTGCGATGGACTTGTACTCCCATCCAGAGGGAGTAGCAATATCTCCTGTCGCTAATAAGCGCCGGTGATGTGGGTCACTTTAGCCCGAGTGTAGACTTTTAACATATTATTGTAAAAATATCATTTTACCATTCGGTGGCTTGTGGTAAGTCTTCAAAATGGAACGGATGTTATCGATGAATAGCTTGTGTGATGATCAGAATTCTAACACGGTGGTATAGCGGTGGTATAGCGGTGGCTTGTCCCTATTAGAATACTGATGGTACCAATAGGGCATTGGTATTTAACGAATTTACTGATACACTGATAAATTAAAGCATGATCACGCTCGTACTGTTTAACATTGCAGGGCAAGAAAATACTGACATGCCTAGAAATGACGGAATTGAAGCACTGCGAAACAAAATCATGGAGGTGTTGAAACAGGAGCCATACATGGGAGAGAAGATACCAATCAAGTAAAGTAACCTACAGTAACGAACTCGAGAACAGATTGGTTTCATATTCAGTGGATTCCTTGCACTTAATTTTTAAAGCGGCTTCGTGCTCTGTTTATTTTAATGGGAGTGACTATTACTCTACACGCAGTTGATGTCGTGAGACACGACCACCACGATTACCGCACAATCACACTTATCGTACTTTTTTTAGTTAAAAAATTTTGACCCCAAGAAGACTCGAATCGGACGATGGATTACCTAGCGAGAATCATGCCCACTAGAACACCGACACCAGCTACCGGATACTTGAAATCCCCCGGCTAACTCCAATATAAAAGCTAACCGCGAAGGGCATTAGGTGGTGTATTATTTAGCTGTGTTTTTTTGCTGATGAACCTGTTTCTTTTGGTTGTTCTCTCTCCAGGTGGCTCAATTTCGAAAGAGTCATCGAAGCTTTGGTTGCTAAACGCATCTATCACATGAATCTGGAACAGCTTCAAAGGTACGCCAGAGAAGAGTGCTTCATAGATGATGAGGACGAGTTCACCACCTTGGTTAATTTCTATCATGACATTGGATTGATTATTAAGCATTGCAGCACGGTTGTTCTCAAGGCTCAGTGGCTGATTGACCTATTCAAGCAGCTGATAACAATTCCACCTCTTTCATAAAACGGTAAGAAACAGTGCCAAGTTATACTCTGTAAGGGCCGATTTTAATAGACGGTACAGCTTTGTCACATGCGACTTCTGTAGCTCTCGCATGCGACAAAGTTGTACCGTCTAAATCGGCCCTAACCAAACTTTGGCTACAACTTAGACTCTACTGAGCTTGCTTCATTAGGCCACGAGCGCACTGTGTGACGTCATGTGGCCAAACACCATCCTTAGAAATAAAAATAACTGTCAACTCTACACGCAACTTGATCCGGCCTGAGCTCTTCGACAGACAAAATCATCAACCTTACACGCTCGGCCTACGGCCTTGCTTCGCTTCGCTTCGCTTTGTGTCAAACTCGATAATTGGGCCGATTATTTACACCTGAATTGAGGTTTAATATACAGGGACTCTTTAACCCCGACTATGCGGAAGATTAATTGTATTATTTCAACGTGGATGAGCCACACACAGTTCACGCAGTCAGCGTTCTATACGTGGTGTAACAAGTGTGGCTATTGGTTTCCTTAAACGCTGTCTAAACTTCATTTAAATAGATAAATAAAGTTATTCAGCATGTCACAAGCATGGGACTACAAAGAAAAAAATATTGAGTCCCCGACGGGAATCGAACCCATGACCTTCCTCCCTTAGATCCGCCTCTGGCAGTATGTATTCCAGTCACCATTACACACTAAAATGTAACGTGAAAACAAATTTTACTAGTACAGTTTAACATCTGACAGAAGGATCATCTGTCCTTTACTATACAATGTGAACAAGGGACCTGTGGTTATTGTTGAATATACTCAGAAAAAAGAGTGATTTTTCCTAACTCGATGGGATGACTTGATCTTTTGATTTTTTTGTCAGGACCCCGTAAATTCCAAGTACTGGCTGGAAGTCGAGAAAACCGGTGTCCTCAGCATGGAACTTGTTGATCACGTGTTTAACAAGTTCATCCAGCAAGGCCTTGTCAAGAAAGACATCTTGGACATGATGGAGCGGTTTGGATTGATCGCCAAGTTCTCACCCTCTCCAACTGATGTAAAATACTTTGTGCCAGCTCAACTCAAGTCGTCACCTGAAAGCCTTTGTGACGTAGCGCCTTCGTACCATGATCCCTGTCCAATGTATGTTCACTTTCTGGTTGGGTTTGTTCCTCATGGACTCTTCTTGCAGCTTGTTTCTAGAGCCATTTCCTGGTGCTCCGAGACTGGGGCCAAACAGTCCCCAAAACTGTACCTAAATGGAGCTTGGTTTGTTATTGGGAGGCAGGTAATTCACAATTTGATTCTGATTTGCAAAAAGAGTTGCATCAAAATTGTCCTAAAGCTCCGAAATCAAGATGAAGCAATTTCACTGTCAACGTCTGTAGATGCAGAAGTGTCAAGAAGTGTGCGATTGTTCGTGGAAGACACATTGCAAGATTTGTCCAAGGAGCTCCCATACCTGAACGGACTGCGGTACAAGTTGTGTGTTACATGCCCCTACTGTCTGCAGGAAGGTCACGAGTGTGCAAACCACAGCCAACCTTCGTGTTCGCATGAGGACTGTTTGCACTTCCTTGAAATGAAACCAGGAGAACGACTGATTTGCGAGGAGACATTCAGCGACGAAGTACTCACTGTTCGTGGTCTGGAGAAATGGTTCCCACAGATAACAAGCCAGGTATGATAGATGTATCATAATGATGTATGGAAAGAAATGATGGTATATGTTAAGCTTGGTAGAAATATAAGATTACTATAAAGATGTTAATCAGTCAGCAAGCTACTCGAAAAAAAAAACGTTCTCCCAGTCTGAGTTCTCCCAACAGCAGTCAAACCTGTGACTTTCTGTACACCGGTCGGACGCTCTACCACTGAGCTACAGGAGACTCGTGGGAGCTAGACCATATAACTGGGTTCAAATGTGACAAACATCCCGCATACTGCTAGGATTAGTTTTGTCAATGAGTGAGAATGTGTGGAAAGAAATGATGGTATATGTAAAGCATGGTACAGTGGAACCCCAATTTAACGAAGTGCCAGGGACTGGGGAAATTGGTTCGTTAAATCGGGGTTTCGTTAAATCGAGAACCCGATATAACGAATTTGTTGAAAACTGA